AGTTACTTTTTTAAAAAATCCTCAGGCCTCAAACTGCTACTGAGGCATGTACAAAATATACTCTTTTCTTGTCCTCTTGGTGGTTGCCTTGAAACTGTTAACACAGCACAAACTAGTGCTGGAACTATGTGATATTCCTCCTCCACCATTTTATAGAATCACAGAATCCTAGAGTTGGAAGATACCTCAAAGGCCATCCAGTCCAACCCCATTCTGCCATGCAGGAACTCTCAATCAAACTATCCCTGACAGATGCCCATCCAGCCTCTGTTTAAAATCCTCCAAAGAAGGAGGCTCCACCACACTCCAAGGGAGCATCTTCCACTGTCGAACAGCTCTTACTGCAGGACATTCTTCCTAATATTTGGTTGGAATCTCTTTTCTTATAGAAGTTTATCACACGGGAGGGAAGTACCCAAATCCCGTGGATCGATGGGATTTAAATCTGGGAATATCCCACAAAAGAGGGATTGTTTTCAGACGATTTTGGACTAATTGACATTAACGCGACATTAACCAGTGCAGAAAGTCGCAAAATCACACCGCTTTTTACTTTTGGGAAAATCCCAAAAGTACAAAGCGGCACAATTTTGCCCACATTCTGCACGGGTTAATGTCACGTTAATGTTCAATTAGCCTGATGTCTTCTGAAAATAATCCCTATTTTGCAGGATATTCCTGGATTTAAATCCCATTGATCCACGGGATTTGGGCACTTTGTCTCCTGTGTGATAAACTACAGTAGTTTGAATCTGGGTCCTATTCTCTGGAGCAGCAGAAAACATATTACTCCCTCCTCAATGTGACATCCCTTCAAATATTTAAACATGACTATCATGTCACCTCGTAACCTTCAATTCTTCAGGCTAAACATATCCAGCTCCCTAAGCCATCCCTTATTGGGCTTTTGGTTTCCAGACGTTTCACCATTTTAGTTATTCTCATTCGGACACACATTTAATGAATTAATCAATTCCCTCTAACTATTGAGTAATAAAAAGAAGTTAAATTAGCCATGGAAAGGACATGAAGTCATCCTTCATTTATTTATATGTGCAGTGTAATTATTTGGGGGTGAGTATTAATTAGAAATAACTAATGGTTTGTATCTAGCTACTTCCAAGCTCTTAAAAAAGCCGTTATCTCAATTATGCAAACAGAGAAACAAGACCCAGGAATTATCCAAAGATTAGTTTAACCTCTGAGCACTGCTATCCATGGACGAAGTCTTCATTGAAGATCCAGATGACCACTGTTACCAAAAGGCCCTTGTACGGTAACTGGCTGGACCAGCAAAGAGATATTGTGTGCAGACAACTTTAATAAAACCATGAGCCAAAATGTTTCTTAAAATTAATAAAATGAGAGAAAGCATAATATTACCAGCAAAACCAAAATGATAATTGCATATGGTTTCATTGAGAATCCATCAAACTCTCAATGTCCCAGCAAGTAGGAAATTGTCTGGTCTTTCGGTTGACGTCAAAGAGTCCCATAAAAACCTGCACGGATTTTGGAAAACCCAGGAGAGTTTTTATTTTTATTTTTTAAAGAAAGAAATACAATCTGTGAGCAAGTTGCAACTGTGAAGGTGTTCCTTTAATCCTTTAGAAGTATTGTAAGATTTTGTGTGAGAGAGCTGGAAAGAGCCAGTAGAGATCACAAGCTTGTATATATTTTTTTCTTTGACACAAAATTTTCCATTTTAAAACCATCCGCTCCTCCAACCACGAAGTTTAATAAAGGGGACCAACGGTGAATGTACTGCAGGCGTTGTCTGAAAGCTCCCCTTTTTCTTGGCTGGTTGCATGTTCTAGCAATTTGGCATTTAATGAAAATGCGGTGCTACACATATTTTTCTTAACAATGGAGATTATTGCAGTTCTCCTACATACTCACACATGGTCTGGCAAGGGCCTGATGGTGTGGAGGGTATGGCCATTTTCAGCTTCTCTTTTGGCATCCCAAGGTGAAGGCCTGCCAATCCTGTCTTGACCAAATGTCCTTCAGTTCTTCACAGCCATAAATGCCCTGAGCCCCTGGCCTTTTCGAGAAAACCACGTGAAGTCATACTGAATCAAAAAAAAAAAATCCAGTTGCCATTATGGTTGCCAGATCTCAGGGCCTGGCCTGGAGTCTCCAATTTTCATCGGTCATCTTCAATAGGGAAATAAGGGTGCAAATATTCCAGTTTTGGGAGACCCAGTTCCAGGCCGGAAAGACCTGTGTCCAAATCACATCTCAGGTAGGAGAGCCACCATTTGTCCCATTTTCCTGGCTTAACACCTGGGACACCTGACTTTGTGTGAAAGGGATCTAGGAGTCCTAGTAGACCACAAGTTGAA